GCTGCAGGTTTATAATAATTAATATTAAAAAAAAGTGAAAGAATTGATTAGGTTTCTGTGTACTCAGCCCACCATGAACCTACTAGGACAGAAGCAGAATACTGTTAGAAAAAAGTAGTTAAATTCTGTTTTGCTTTTCACTTCACAAAAGGTTTCTCTCTTTAAAAAAACAAAACAAAACAAAACCCAAAACACAGCTCTTCCATCTTCAAAGGGGTAGAATTATGCTGAACAGTGATACTTTAGTCTTGATGAGAAAGCAATAGATTTCCCAATATTCCCTGGAGACATTAGTATATACTATCTCTGATAATACCAAGTTGTCATAATATAATATAGCATCCTGGCAGACCAGTACGCACAAACTTTGTTATCTTCCACTCCCTTCCGGCAAGCAAACATTTTATTATTACAGTAACGGCAGTAAATGAAAGATCTGATACTGCTATTTTTTCTCTCTGTTCCTCTCCTTTAGCTACATTTATGAACATTTTACTCTGTTGCAGTAAAACAAATCACTTCAAAAATAGCTATGAAATACGGTAGAAATAATTTAGTACATAGTTATATATAAACATTTCATAGATGCATACATATATAGATATATGTATATGAGTGGAAAATCAAAAATGGAGTCATGCTAATATGTACGGAAATTCTTATGAAAAAAGTATATACTGGGAAAGGAGGAGCAAGTATATATTAGACGACAGTTCTCTGTTTCCCTGTTTCTGTGGTTTGTGAGCTGTGCTGTATGTGTAACAATCCTAACTTACCCACAAGCAAAGCTGTCTTAATGTATTAATCTACCTGTGAAACAAATACTTTTGTACTGAAAATGCTGTTTCAGCTTCAATCCTACATTATCACCTGCTCAAGCAGGGCTTTGAATGAAGGCAAGATACTCTTCCAACGACTGAACATCCAGATTGTCAGATATGAAGATTGCAATGTCATTTCATACAGCACAGGCTTGGAATAAAACACTATTTTACATAAAAAAACCTACTCTTGAGGAACAGGCAATCAAAACAAGTTCGATTATTTGGGTAAAATAATTCAGCCTGGAGATACATTTCAATTTGCCTTTATATGAAACTGTGAATTTTGGATTAGTGAAATAACAGGGAGGATAGTGGTATGTTGCAATATTGGTTGAAAGCCAATAAAAACTGAACACCTCTGATCTTGCCAAAAGGAAAATAAGTAGGGAAATCACTTGAGTTTGTCATGTAATTTAAGTGATCAACAGAAATATGCTAACATTCACAGTTCTAAGTAAAAAATGGCCAACATTTCTAGATTTAACGTGAGTATAGAAACCTATTTCAAGTCTTTGAATGGTCTCTTCAAAATCAAGTTTGACTTCAGTTCCAAGGCCATTTTATCCTAACCCTCCCTTTAAGAGTCTGTGTTCCCACTCACTAGCCCCGAGCATTCTACAAGTTCTTGACACTCAGGAGAGATTCTGTACACAGGCACTCCTTTTTTCCATGCTAGTCTTGTCTGCTTCTGAAGAGTTAGACTGATACAATACACCTTGCAGAAGGAACTCCTGTTTAACTCATTCCAGTCATACTACAAATGCACTTGAAAATTAATTCAGTTTTTCCATCAGTTACCTGAAACATTTCCATTTCATAGGCACAGTCCAACCTCAAAAGTATGGTAACACAAACAGCTAACAGTCATACAGATCAACTCACTCCTGCAAGTAAGGTAATGTCCATACCTACGTGTTTGCAGCATCTGCTGCCTTCATTCAGTGGAACATCGCTTAGAAAATATTCTTCGTTATTTCTGAGACTTATATAATTCTATGTGCAACATATATAAACACACAGAGAGTATAATAGGATACAAAATTCTATTGTATTCGAGATAATATAAGAATAACCCTCTGACATCATGGTTTGGGTTGCAATGTCTGATAAATGATACCTGTGTTCCCATCCCTATTTCAATAAATATTGAAGTATTTTATGCCAAGGGGATCAGTGTCCATAGAAAGACTGATACTGAGTACCTCAATGGCTGCACAATATGCTTGGAAAGAAAGGAAAGCCAAAGCAAAATTCATGCTTTAAATCAATCAGAAAGAGATTTAAATTTGGATTTCACAGATACCACTTGAATAACCTAATTATGGTCATATAAAGGAGGGAAAAGGAAAATACAATCTCTATGTTGTAATCTATACCTATTTTGTCTGTGAATTAGCTCTTACTTCCAAGTATTTTGTTTAAAAAGTGAAACAACAGAGGTAAAATGTGACATTGACTGAACAGTTTAATTCAAGCATAATGTATTGTTCTGGAAGAGCATAAAGATTTTGTACTGACCAAAACAATTTTGTATGGCCACCAAATTAAAGAGGTGATGAAAGGAAAAAGACAAAAGGTATCTGAATAATACTGTTGCTTGTCACAGTTGAGCCATTTTAATGGACATTCTCTAAATTATTCAGTTCAAGGCAGGTGCCAGAAATGGAAAATTTCAACGTAAACATTAACATTTGGAAAAATGATAAGCACTTGGGAGTAATGTCTTTTGGTGAAAAGCTGCATGCAGCTTTAGCTAAAGACCATGTCACCAGCTCCACCTTAAAGATTTTATTTATGCCTGCCACAAAACCATCAAAGGACTGTGCAACAAAACCTTTAATTGTGAATGAAGTTAGTATTAATTTCTTCAAAACAGAATATACTTATGGACATATAACAAAGAACAATTTGATGTACTGGCTTAGACATAACTGTTGCACAAAATAAAATCTACTGCTCTCAATAATTTAAGCAAAATAGTTTTGGAGAATGGTAGAAGGGTCACTGAAAACCTTGGCTTACTGCTGAAACTATACAAATTTTTAGGGATGGAAAGCAGGGAACACACCAAATCTACTGGTAAAGGTCTACATAGAACTTCATTGCCCTGTAGGAAAGAAAAGAATTTTAGGAATCTTTATAATCCTGCTGGGCCTGTAAAAACAGAAACAAAGAGAGGTCAAAGGATCTCAATGGATGGTTAGACTGCAAAGCATGTGCGCAGTGAAGTACTTTGACATTAGTTTCAGAAAGGCAATGCTGAAATGACTTTGGACAACAGACAGTAACAGGACTACTGAAGCCTATTCACGTCAGTAAGATCATTATAAATAATCATAAACTATAAATTATACATTTTATTAGTAAGAGTATTATAAACGGTATTTCACATCACAGGAATTCACAATGCACATGCACACCAGCACAATCCAAGTATTAAACTTCCAAAACTCAGGCCTTAGAACAATGACAATAGCTTTCTTGACTATTTTTCTAACCAGAGTCTAAGGCATGCAATTTCAAGAAAGAAAGTCCAAATGCTGAAGTATAAATATTTACAATTTGAAACTTTATCAGAGGGAAGAAGCTGAGCAACCCCCAGTGGTAGCAGAAAAATACATTCTGGAAGAAAAAGCAAAATTTTTCACAGGACCACAGCATTTTCAAAAATATATTGATTTGTAAACACAAATTACTATATTATATGCAATGTCCAAAGCTGATGATAACATTTACAAAAAATATGAGTAAAAAGTCATGCATGACTCACGGCAGTTTTTTCCTCGAATTCAATTAGAATGTGATAACTGTGTTTGATAAAATACACTACATTGTAGTTGTCTTACAATATATTAAGAAGAAACGCACAATGTGGTATTAAGAAAAAAAACTTAGACTGTTTTGTATTTTGTTTGAAAGTAGTTATCTAGAATTCTGTTCTGTCATCTCTTTTCTATAAATTGCCATTTGCTCTTCCTTCTTTTATGCTTGGAACTAAGAATGAACACTAATCAACAACCTTGCCGGTACAAACTGTACTTTTTGTCTTATCAACCTTTTTGAAATTTACTCCAGTTGAGTGAGATTTTCTGTTAGCCACCAGCTGCTCAAGATTCTCATGAATACCCATCAGAACAAAGTAGGTACAAGGACACAGATGAATGTGCCTGAAAACACCAATATCAAAGAACTCAAACTATATCTGAACTGTATACAGTCTTTCAAAAGTTATCCATACACGTGTATTAAAAGGAAAAGCCCTTGCTCTGTTGCCACCAGTATCTCATGGCTCTAGCCATCACCAATATAAAGGGATGGTGCTTCATAGAGTCAAGGTCATTTCAGACACCACAAGTTCAGACACCAGTAGATAATATTACAGAAATAAAAGAATGAGCCCAAAATTATGCCCTCTTCATTCCAAAAAATGTAATATTGAAGACAATATTTTGAAAATCAAAAACAACACTGACAGACCTAAAATCACACTTAAAATTGCAGTTACAAGAAATCACTTTGGAACTCGGTTCTTCTTGATTTTCACTGTGTTTCTAAGGTGACTTTTGAAACTGATTTTGGGTCAAAAAATTAGTTTAGACAGAACGTTAATGGGCTTGTTACTGGAACACCAAAGATGACAAAAAAGGATCTCAAGAGACTTGAAGTCAATCCCTAAGAAATCACCACACATTAGAAAAAAACCCAAGAAATATAAAAAATCCCAACATTTGATCTACCATAATTACACTGCTATAGCATCTTGTGCTGAGCTGTAGCAATCAACAAAGCAGAAACTGAAGTGCAAATTGCAAGCCACCAGTTTAGGTTTGGAGCTGGCACAAAAATCCTGTAATGGACTAATGGCTAGCTACTTCAAAGCCAGGAAGTCTGACATACAAATCTTATGTTCACAGAAAGAAAGACAACATGACAGATATCTTTGAAGAATTTGTGAAAATATTCTTGCAAACATTTTTAAAGATCTCTGATTTCTTACTGAAAAATATGTATAATTTTACTATAAATAATCTATTGGTAAGGCATAGTACAGGGTGCCCTCAGGTGTTGCCTACTTGGTCAGGAGTGCTTAAGAGACCTTTCATTTTTATCACATTCAAGAAACTTTCTATCACATTTAAGAAGCATCATGTCATGAATCACATGGAAATATCACACCTCCAAGTTGCTGAGATGCTGTTTTTCAAGGAGTTGTTGCATTTCTTTCAGCTTTGTCTGGAAGATAAGTTGGTTACAATCCATGTTCATTCTACTGCTTTCTTGTATTGTTTTACCGCCGTCAACCATTGCCACAATCTGCTTCTGGTGGAAAGAACCATTTCCAGATGCTGACGAGGATGAAGTGTCACCTGTGGTTCTTGATACAAGCAAATAATTTGTTACTTTGTCTTATTTCTTTGAGTTAACTCTACACTTTTAAACATTTTTCTTTCCAAAAGTATACATCATCAATAAATGCCTGGCAAGTGAAGGACAGCTATACTATATGTAACTACAAGTGGTGCTGTTAGTACTGTCTAAAACTCTCCAACACTTTCCATTTTAAACTTTCTGCTATTTGTAAATAGTCGGACTTTTCCGATTGGGTTGTCGGGTGTCTGCCTCAGGATGAATTAATCTGGAAAATGTCAGCCAACAGTTTGGTCATTTACAGAAATGGAACACGGAGAGTTGTTTTTTTTAAAAAAAAAAACAAAAACAAAAACAAAGAACCACCAAACCAAAATGGCCTTTATTTTTCCATAAGATTGGCTTATCTAGAGGATAACTATATAAAGATACTCTCAGATATTCCTTTACTTCAAACAGCAAGAAGTCTTTGTAGTATCTAGAAAGTCCAATTCTACTGATGATGTGCAATGTCATTAATGTGGTACATTAAAGAATTTGTATTTGCTACCTGAAAAAAAAAAAAATATATTTGGAGAAGCTAGTGTAGCTGGGTACTGTGGTCAGAGTGAGCCCAAATTAAGACAGAGGAAACCACAGGTTTCTACAGGATGAGAATTAGCAAGAGCCATGGAGCTAGCTGACACCCAGGAATCAAAGAACCAAGAAGCACATGAAGGCAAACGACAAGGAAAAGGTGCAATCAGAGACTAGGAAGGCAGGGACTATGTAGCGAGATATGTTCAAGAATAAAAAGCATATAGAACTGGAACAAGGCTGGGTAAGATCACTAGGAATAGGAACCAAGCTTTGGAAAACAAGAAGCAAGAACTAGGCAGATACCAAGGATGAGAAAAACAAGAAACAAAGAGCTTTAACCAATACGAAAGGTAGGCCTTAAAAAAAGGCAAAAATAACACACAAACCAAAACCCACCAGCTCATAGGTAGATCAAACTTTAGTGTTCTGGAAGCATAACTATAACCAGGTTGCCAGCTATGTTTGACTGCCTAGGTGGAACAGTTTAGCAAAGGACATGGATTCTGTCTTTTGTCTCCAACCTGTCTCTAGGGCCCTGAATGCCCTTAGTCTGGCATATTCAAAGAAGCACATACAGAGATCTGTTACCAGATCCACAACGGTTCAGTAGAGCCATAACCCTTACAATTGATTACAAAGCCAAGCTTATGTCTTGCTGGTTTAGGATCAAGTATTTGTTGTACTCCACAATGATTACAAATGGTGGTAGGAGGAAAACAGATTTTGGAAACAGGTTATCAGTATAAACTTTCAGGGAAGTTATTTGTAAAATGGGTATACCTTTACCAAAAAGGGGAGATCCAGCTTTTATTTTACCAGGTTGATCAAGTCCAGTATTTGAAATGATACTTTGTCTCATCAGTCACAGGATTTCGAGTAACAAACCAAACCTTATTGTCCATTCAATACACAGATGCTTTCCAACATTCCCAGGATGCATTTCTCTCATGTAGTTTCTTAGCAGCATCAACATGACCCCTTAAATATTGCTAAATTGGGTGAAAGTGTTTAGCTAAATTTGTTGCAAAAGTGAACTTTTAGTCTATGTGCAACTAAATATGAAAATCATACTTCGCGTATTTCCCTCTTTTTTATTGAAATTGGAATCTGGCTCAACACGATGATCTACTATGCACATTTTACCCATCCTCATTTTCAGTGAAGTTGATGGTGAGGAAGATGGTTCCTTTCATGTATGGGCAATATGCAGTATAGGAACTTAGAAGAAGACATGAGTATTTCATGCCACACAAAGCTATCTTCCTTAACAGCTGGCACCCCTATTGAGCAAATTTGAACAGTACAGTCACACAATATATACACAGACCTCACCCTGCTCTACTGCCTATCCAGCAGAGATGCATTATTAGGAAACATGTATTGTCTCTAGCTGGAGACGGCTATCATATGTCTAATATGTACAGAAACTCAACAATCCCTTTTCTTCATTTCTCTCAATTTCTTCAGCTTAAGTTTCCACAGGTCCATCTTCTGAGCCTTCATCTATTTCATCCTCTTTCTGTATCTAAAATTATACTCCCTGTTAAAATCAGTTCCTTTTCTTTTTAGTACATGTGTCAAATGGGTAAATAGTCTAATGAGACCTTTTCTGTATTTATTACAATACTTACAGTTTTAGGACAATGGAAAATGGAAACTTTCATCCCATCAAGATTATTGCTATTTTTCAGAAGATTTTATAAAATACTCTGAAAAAGCTGGCTTAATTGCACTGACTTAAGCAGACATGTATATTTAGCAGAGTCTAAAAAGGAATTGATTATTTCTGATTAGATGGCTGATAGCAAAAAGGGAGAACAATTTCTCATATTTATTTATAGAACTCAGAAAACTGCATTCTGTGTTCTTTTAAATGGGAGATATCCTCCTTATCCAAAAACTTTCTGTACCTATCCACTTTTAAGGACTTTGCTACTGTGGACCAGACTGATAGACACCTAGCCCCAAAAAATCTGGTGCCTTTTTTTTTTTCTGAGGTGGGGAGAAGTTTCTTGATATCTATTTGGATGTTTAGACCATTTATATTTATAAAAGTTCCTACATTCCAACTCTTTTCAGAGAACATTTTTGATTTGTCATAATTAAATTTCTATTCCAAGACTGAACCTAACAAATACAACTGTTTTTAAACACAAGCAGGAAAATATATCTTGTAAAAGAGCAGCACATTATTTACACACCTAATGTGCACACATCCCAGTGTCTGTTAGCTAATGCGTTGACTAAAATCTTTGCTTCAGTATTTAATAATTCAACGTTACTAAAAGCAGAGTAGCTCTACTGCAAGCACAGAATACAATCTCTCACTCATTAGCTGGTTCAGGATTTTTTGCCTTTCTCCAAGAGGAGGTAATATATCTCCATTGCTTAATTTAATTTTTTTACAAATTTTTCAACATAGACATTGAGAATCTTATAAAATTCACTTATATCCAGTTGGGTCTGCAGCCATATTTATCTTGAATACTTAATACAGTATTCATTTCTTCCTTTAAAAAGGGACTGTCAATGAATTCATTTACATGAATATACACATTTTATTTCTGAGGGAGGGTAAATTCTAAAGATGATAGCATATTTTTGGTGTGAGTGTTTATAGAAGTGTAAGAAAAGATAGAAATACAGAAAGGGATCTACTACCTCATCTGAGTTAGTTATTAGCTGTCCCAAAAATTCCAATTAAAGGGATTATAAGACATTTTTAAAGCTTTACAGCTCAGAATTGGTGAGTTTTGAAGAACCTTCACATTTGAGAACCTTCTCAAAATGCTTTTCTCTATCAAAACTTACTTTGCTGTACCAATTTGCAAGAAATTTATTTGCCCTCTAAGAGAATTTTGCACCATTTTTGGAACCAAGTCTCAAAATACAGAAATGCCACTTTTATGACCCACACAAACTATGGCTCCCAGACCAAAACTAAAAAGAACAACCCTGCACTAACATCTTCTGCAGCAGACCAGAAGAATCTATGCTGCATAGCACGTGTTCAGTTTGAATCTCAGGGCTAGTAAGGGTTTGTGTCAGATGCAGACAAAAATGCATAGAGAATGTTCTGTAACAAGGAAGGAAGACAAATTGTTAGAGTAAGCAAAGCTTTATTTCATATTAATTTGTATACTTTGCCCTTATACACAAGCCTGGACTGCAATAACTGAATTCTTTTTGCCTTATTACCATACCCCCCAATATTCTCTACATCCTCCTTCACCCACCCCATATGGTTCCTACCCAAGCCTCCTAGTTACCAGCTGGGGAAGAGGCAGCACATTCTGTGGCAGGTTCCAAGATACTCATGTGTTGTCTTATCCATACTAACTGGCTTGTGACCTGACAATAGGTCAATGTGGACTCAACTTTTCAACCTTTTTCATGCTAGGATCACTTGTTTGAATTATTTCTTCCTTGCCCAATTGCCACTTTCAAACTTGTAGAAATATAATTATCTTTGAGATTCTTAGCGGTCTCTCAAATTTGGTCACTAGGGGAACACAAATTGTAAAAGAATGTGAAGGTATAAATTTAATTTCCTTAGGAAATCAGGTTATAATAATGAAAATGAGGAAAAGAACACACTATCTTTATTACAGGACAGTGAGTTTTAAAAATTATACAAATATAATATGGAGTGACAACAATGTTATACTTCAAGAGATAGTAAGTGGTTTGAAGAGGTCTTGAGAGAAAAATGTGAGCCTCTAAGGCACAAGGAGCAGTCTGAAGAAAGATGACTAATAAGGAAAGAAATGATAAAGGCAGGGGGAAAAGGCACTGAGCTGCTGTCCTTAATCGAGCCTATGAGTGAAATGAGACAAACAATCAGGAACCTTGAGAAAGAGCTCAGAAACATCTACATTTTTTTGCTACAATTTCAACTTATATGTAGCAGGTAGATTTTTTTGTTTATTTTTATGGCTGCAATCCTCCTTTATTATGTCAATCCAGTGTAGTAGCCGCAGAACTATATGCATGTTGACCAGCAGATAGCATGAGTATTTAGCTCTAAGAGGTATGAAATATTTTCTCAATTGCCCAGTATATCACCTGCTAACATGTATTAATCAGCAGTAGATATGTAATCAAACTGAATATTAACATCACAATGAAGAACACATTGAAGCTCAAAAGTAGGGAGACCGCTTTTAGACAGTATTTATCTCTATTCTGAACACCTGCACAATTTACAGCATGCAGAAAATAATTATAATAATAGCAATAACAAAAATAAAACCCTGAACTGAAATGTTAAAGAAATGAGAGATTAGGAAGGGGATAATCAGGCAGGAGTATCAAATACAGCAGATGATAGATAAACTATGCATGAATAAATATTCTGTGATAAGTCAAGGTATCTTAGAAAAAGTGCTTGGGTAGAGTGAAAAGTATGCAGTTCAAATTGTATGTGATATAAAAAGAAATTGCAGACAAAATTGTTACCAGGATGCTCAAGACACATATAAAGGATGAGAAATTTAAAGGAATGACAGCCGGAAAGAAGATAAGATCATGGGATGAATATACAAACTAAACTATCCTTGAATGTCAAAAGGAAAAAATCTGGATGAGAATAAGAAATCACCTAGACAGAATACTTTATAATTTATAGAACAGCACATGGCCTGTTAACCGTGGCAATCTGAGTCAGGCTATAACTGAATGGGGACTGGGTTAGCCCTGACTATTCCCAGAATTCTGCTGAAGGGAAAAGGTTTGTGTCATCTTCTCTGCTGTTTTACAAAACGGACACAAACAACTCAAGAATGTTTCGTAACGTTTCATTGGAACAGTTCAGAGAAATGCTTTCTTTGCCACAAGAGAAATGGCCTACAATTTCTTAAAGAGTAATTGTCTGCTGTTTATTGAATGCACTAAGCAATTTACTTCCTTAGATCATCAGAGTAAACAGAAATACTTACCTGATGTTGGTTTTGCTTCTGCTGGGCGAACACAGTCCTGGTGTTAAAGCTGATCCTCTAATTTGTGCAAGAGCTTCTTCTAACGAAGGAGTTGCTTTTGTCTGGACTAGAGGGATTAGAGGAAAAAAAACAATGGGAAAAAAAAAATTAAAATTGGAATATTTTACCATAAATGGTTTGGTTAAGTTTCTGAAGTTTGGAAGCCTAAATACAGACTGTTACAATAAACTAAGCGGTTTAGCATCATTAGACATGCTAGAGCATCTCTAGTTCGTCTGAAACAAAACCTCAGCCTATTTAAGTGTTTACAGTAACACATGTATTCAACAGTTTTGCTATTTTTTTTAGACTGCACTGCTGAAAAAGTAGATTAAAAAATCCAGCACTGACTTTGTTTTTACATCATGATTATCCCACTGATGCAATAAACCAAAGTTATGGCTTGCAGATATTTTATAGAAGCCAAATTGTAACTTAATAATTGAATCAGTGGAGAAAGAAAGAGTCCAGATATAGGCACAAAGTGTTGCCTCTTTCAAGTAAGTACAAGTAGGGCAGAAAGTGGCAGAGGCCGAATTGCTATAAAGGAAAACCAAGAAAAAAAATTGTCATTCATTATATTGCTTCACAGTCTGGGCTGTCAGTGGAGCTACGAAGAAGCCCTAAACCAGTACTGTTCTATTTTGTTATTTTAATCTGACATTTGATCTTGAAGTCAGAGACATTACCTCACAGTTGGCACAACTGCAGTTGGGAGACTAAATCTGTTAAAGAATACCTAAGTAATATACCATATCTTAAGAGTTGCAACACTGGAAAGCTGACTGGAAATCAGACTTGGCTGATGCTGTTAAAAACTCCTGCCAATCTGCACTGAATCCAAGAAAGCAGGAACTGAGTTGAAGTGATCATTACTTCCCAGCAGCGAGAGAACAGCTTAAAAAGCTGACTAATTCAGCAAAAGTTATGTAATACATTAATATAAGCTAGGACTGCTTTTACTTAATGATAAACAAAGTGCACATTCTTGAATACTTCATATTCAGGGGATCAAATAGCAAATCATTATACTATCCTGGTAACTTACTTTCAGTGGCCTTGTAACACCTCACATCCAGCTGTGAAAGCATGGTATTGTAAGCAATGAGCACACTGCAGTGAAAAAAGTGGGGAAAACCTAGGAAGCCACAATATCCCAAGGAGGTGATGTACTTACTGTGACCAGAATATAATGAAATATCTCACAATACAATTTAAAAATAAATAAATACATTTGGTTTTTTTTAAATTCCCTCTACCCAATTTTGTTGTATGTATCAGATTTGAGCTTCTTGTCAGTTAAATTTTGCTTATATGAATTCAATTAATTAAAGTGAAGTTAATTGTTCTGTTTGCCTCAATTATATTCTATTAATAGAAAAACAATTGTATTGTGAATAATGGTTAAATTTTAATTTACAGACCTATTTGCTTGTGCCCAGAAAAAGGCAGATGAGCCCGCTGGAACTTATCAGTTAATTCCTGAAGTTTAATTCTCCTCTGCTGCAGACATTGTTCTCTAAATCTTTGTTCTTCTTCTTCTTGTTGCTTCCGTCTTTCTACAAAGGCTCTGTATTTAAGAAGCAAAAGTAGATGATCCCTATGTTTTCTAACTACATTTACCAAAATATTAGTAACTTACTTGCTTATCAATTTGCAATTTTATTACAAAAGGTTGCTTGTTCATAAATTGAATGCTAGAAACTTCAGCACAGGTGGATTGTTATGGTTTGTCTGAACATAAATGGGACAGTGGGTGTTGAATAAGAGACACACCATAAACTTTTTATTTTTTTAGCCTCAACCAGAGATTTGATTCTTTCTTATATGTGAATTAACATGCAGACTCAACCAGTTCTTGGCACCAACGTGACTTTCGCCACAGTCTTCATGTTAGCATGTAAATGTATCACAGTGAGCAGATCAATAGAAAGGTGAACTGCAAGTGCTCTCTGTGCGTGCCTTTCACAAGCTGTTGGGGAAATAGTAACAGTTTAAGAGTTGTTATTCAGAAATAACACAAAAGAACTACAGCTTTTACCTAAAAATATGCAAGAGTTAGTATCAACTTCTAGTTGTTGAGAAGATTCCTGAAAGATGATCAGATTAGTAACACAAAATAGGAAAAGATAGTAATGTGAAACTATGATTGACACAATCAGTTGTTAATATAAAATATGTTAAATGTGTCCTTCTACTGGCTGGGAAGCAAAGCAGGCCCTCATCCAAATCAACCATCGTCACAAAGCTTTCCTTCGATAGGCACAAGCTTGATGAAGCTATGTGGAATTTTTATTCCTG